TATATATCCTCAGTGTTTTCCAACATTTGTTTCTACGAAGTAGGCATTACATACACATCATGTTTATAATTGCTTCATGCAGTTGGAGAAGTTGAATTAATTCTGAAAAAAACTTTGAATTTTTATGTTTCAATATCATTTAGCAGTATTATGAACACAGTAAATTTTGAAACAATAATATTATCTGATAATTTCAGCTATAATTGAGCATATCTCCAGACCAATATTGTATTTCGTTTTTTTTCGCGGTTAACTGCGAATCGTGTGATTAAAGATCTTACTACGGTTCTTCTAACTATAGACGGAATGTGAAATTTGTTTGTTTGTTGCTTCGTTGACCGAGCAACACACAAGAAACTCATTGTGTTGTTGAGCCGATGACTCAATTCAAAGATTTGTATGGTTTGAAGCCTGATGAATGTGTGGACAAATTTTGATCAACTTGTAAACGCGAAAATAATGGCCGAGTTGTTCATATCCTCCCATAAACTTTCAAGACGAAATCATCTACCGATGAGGATTGTATGATGATTGTGAGAATGTGCAAGCCTTTTCACTTGGTTATTTTATTGACAAATCGTTCAGTCCCGTTGCGCTAGAAAAAGCGGTGAAACATTGTAATTGTTACAGAACTTCTCCTTATGAAATGAGAAAATTCGAATGGTAAAAATTTTCAAAGCCATCAAAATCAAGCATCCTTTTTCGTGACGTTTTCTTATTTGTAATTAGTGTCATTTATACAACATCGGAATCGATTGTTCTAATTGAAGTTAGATGAGGTTTTGTTTGTATAGATTATTTTAAAGATTGTGTTTTTTATAGATTCGTATGTGAGATGAGATTTTTAAAGTACTTATGCGTTATTGTGATGATGATTTATAATTGTAGCAATTTAGAGAAACTGAAAGTTTGATTTCAGCAATCAGTTTTGTTATTATAATTTTTCTGGAACAGGAAAATTATTTAGCGTTCAATAAAATATTTGTTGTGTATGAGTAAGAAAAGAAGTTACGAGTCAACGGAATATGTGTGTAATGAGTACGCGTTTGGTGGACAATTGATACGAATACGCCAACGGAAAATATGAGTGTTTGTGTGTGGTTTTGTATGTTTATTAGGAACAATTGGTATTATTGAATCGCATCCTGCATGATGATACTGGGTGGTGAATTTGTTGAGCTTCTTCACCTGAGTGATGTTTTCTCATTTGCTTATTCAGTTGTAGTTCATGTGTGTTCCTAAACAAAGATTAGGCACTCTTTTATGCTGTCAGTTCGTGATATTAATGAAAATTTCGACATTCGTCAATATGGTTTCGTTGAATCATCGTCGTTTTTTCATCGGTTATCCATCCATCCACACATAAATACGTAAACAGTTGCCGTATTGAGCGACAAGAGCACTCTTCTTTGATGCATTTACACGTTGATTGTCTTTGCTCGTTGTGCGTTTTTATGCAAAGCATTTTAATTCAATTAATAATTCATTAAGCGAAATAATTAATGCATTCAATGGCGTTCTGCAGTATCTGCCATATTCAGTTAGCAAATAGATTATCGCAAACATCATTGGAGAGCATTAAGCTGCATCCGTGCATTTTCAGTCGGCTTCCTCAGACAGGGTGCTTGCAGCAACCACTGCAGTGACCGATGTTGAAATGTTACGTCTGCCGTCTGATGTGCGCGAACGTTTAGCTGAACTCGAACTTGAACTCTCTGAAGGTGATCTCTACCATTAGTTTTAGAATTTATTATTAATGTCATTATTATTATTATTATTTATTATTGTTGTTATTATTATTACTATTTATTATTATTGCATTTTAGCACCTCTAATTTTTGTTTTATTCATTACCGATCTCATTGAATGTAGCGCCATAAAATCTTTTTACGTGACGTGCGAAGACGTCGAATTCATCACTCAAAAAGACTAGAGGGAATCATTGAAGCGAAATAAATCTGTTCAAAAAAGTGGATCATTCTGTTACAAATTACATTTGAACTCCGTATTGCTAGTGAAGTTGACAAAGAAAAATTAACTGTAAGATATGATAATAATTTTCTAAATCTGACATGAGTACTTTAGGAACAGTTCGATACGCTGAACGCAATGATAATTGTCAAACAGTTCGAAAATATGATTATTCAATAAGAATTTCATGTCGTACTTTTGATATTTTGATAATTCAGGTGACATAACGCAAAAAGGATATGACAAAAAGCGACAACAGTTAATAGCACCATTTATGAATGTGCAGATTAATGGTACTCTTTTATCGTTATCTTCATTCAACTAATTATGGAAACGATTCGATTCTGTCCAAAATTTCTTTTCCACTGTCATTTTCTATGAGCGGTGTTGATTTTTTTTTTGAAAATTTGTCAATAAAAGTGGTGTAATTCAATCAGTTGCCATTTACCAAATACAAAAGAATTAGTTTCGGCGAATTAAGTTCGTAAAATTTCATTGCTTCAGGTAGTAAGAATGCGGCGAGCCCGGCTACAAAAGCGCATAGACGGCATCAACGAAGACTTACACGCGATGAGTCTCGTTTTCATTCAGGTGCTTCTTTCTAAGAATACTTAAAATTCAGCACTTGCGAGCTATGTGTACCCCTTCCGAAACTTCTCATCGAAGTGTTTGCCATCAGTCGTCAACTTGTGATATATTAAGCATTTATTTTCATATCAAAAGAACATCGTTATTCACCAAACAAATGGAAAATAATTCCAAAACAAATCACTGCTTTCAGTTCATCTTAAATTATTATGTATGTTTATTCATCATTCGAATTTTTTTTCAGAAATTCGTGCAGAAGCTGTGCAGCAGGCATTGGCTGAATATTCGCAAGGTAATACTTTATTTTCATCACCTTCTTTCGACTTACTTCTACTTTCATGTCTCTTATTTCTTCGACTTGGTGCTTACATACGCTCATGTAATATTGCAGTAGAACACTTAGTAAATCTATCTTAGTTAGTTCGTTTTCTTCAAAACATTTGAGATTATAATTTACGAATATTGTGTGTGCTGTACTGAAATATAATAACGAGTGGAACAAAGATTGTTGATTGCTACAGTTAGTGAATGCCGCGAGATAAAACTTTCAGTAATGCCATTCGAATGCGATACGCTAAACTAGAAATCAAAACTGTTTTATCTGAATGAATAGAGTGTAGCCTGATGTTTATCTTTTAAAACTCATGCATGCTTCAGGTAAGAAGGAACGCCCAAATATCCTGCAGCCAATAAAGCGCCGTGGAGTTGCTGAATCGAGCAATTGTGGTAGAAGTCGTTTATCTGGTTAGATTCATAATCTTTTGAGTTTTCACTATCATTCGTTAGATCACCTTGAGTTTCATCTACCTGGATTGGCCAGGCTATCAAACGCTTGTAACGTTGCTGGCCACAATGCACACGTTTCCGTGCACATTGTTTTAGCCTCAGTTTACACCACCTCGCTGGCTAGGCGAGCAGGCCAACCGAACACAACCGAGTAATTAACTGGTTGCCATGAATATTTTGCATAATTAATCGTAGCCAAATATCAATCCAATAGATAATCATAACTCTAGTAATATAAATATTCCGTCGATTGCTCGCAGCGATTGACAAAACAACCACTCGACGTCCAAGTAACAATATTACCTCCTTGAGTTTCATCTACTGAATGTACTATCGGAGATTACTGTTAAATTGCAGTTTGTTCTATAAACGAACCATCCGATAAAGAAGTTGTTTTTGGTGGAGTTTTAAAGTTTTTACTCCCTCTTTTAAAAATATATCTGAAAGTGTTCGTTGTGAATTGCAGAAATTGGCAATTGTAGTGTTGAAAGATGCTTTCATTCAGATTCTTCTTACTGTGATCAGCAGTTACTGAAATTGTAGCAAGAATCGAGTAAATATTTGAATGTGCTGAAATTAGACAGCGAATGAACACAAAATGATTTAGATTAAACGAAGGTTTCAGAAAGTAGTTCAGAAGAGGAAAGTTTGCTGGGTAGTACGGAACGCAGCAAGGGAACAACTGCATCATCGAGGTCTCGATCGTTGAGTGATCGTTGCAACAAACGTGGAACAACCGATGCGTCGCGATCTTCTCGTATGTCTTGAATATTGTATTTGATTCTTTGCTTATTCATTCAGTCATTAGAAAGGATAACATTTCACTATCAATCAGTGACTTTTCATTCATTTATAGCGTAATATAATACAGTGTTCAATAATTGTTTGTTACCACTGAACACGAATTACTCGCTGCAATAATTATTTCATATGTCGAGGATCGACGTGTAAATTTCGTTAAATCATCAATTCCTTGTGCCATACTGAAACAGTCTTCGAGTGATAGTCGGATTTTATGCTTTCAACTTGATTTCTACAACTGCTTTGTTGAATCGATGAATGTGTATTATCAGTGCGGGAGTGCGTTAACAATTCAACAGTATAAGCTAAAAAACGATAGATAGGCAGCTCACGAACACTTTGTTAATCGAACAATGTATCTGTTGATATTTGTATCATGAAGCAACTCACGATCGTCGTCTAAAACGGCTGATACTTGTTGAACAATTTCTTGACGTTTGACAATTGTTTCGTGCAGATTTATGCTTCATTATGTAATGGATGATCGTCCATTAAAATGATTCGTTTATATACACAATAAATCTATCAGCTAGTCTTTGTTTTAGGACAGTCATTGCATGCTCCACCTCCAGACGTTACGAGTGGTGCGTCGATAGCTGAATCTCTTATCAAAAGAGATAAACAAAGGCGATCGGTAGGTGCTCAGTTGTATTATTTGTATAATATGATTTCCATTGTTGTTTCTTTTCTTGCATTATATCATAGCATTTTACTTATCATTCGTTCAACAAAACGTTCAAGCATCAATATTGATTACATAATCTTCTCGTTGAACGAGTCATAAACTTCATTCAATTGCATCACCAACAAAATTCTTCTTTTCTAACACTAAACAACTGCTTCAAGTTCCAATATGACTTCAATCATTTTTTGAAATTCTTAGAATTGTGTGGTAATTATCGCCGCAAAGTTATATAAATTTCGATTGCAAAAGTTGAAATGAAGAATGTACCATAGAATCTGTATAATATCATTTCGGGAGGTGGAGTTAGATTATTAATTTTCTATTACACTTGCGATTGTTTGCTTCCGTTCGTTGGATTTTTGGGTACTTGTGCTGTTAAGGGGATAGCGCTCATCGAAAGGAGAGAGCGCTATCCACTTCACAGCAAAACTCATTTCGTTGTCATTTGTGAACGCCCATCGGAAGAGAGAAAAGGGGGAGCCTCTGCGTAAGCCTATCCCTTCACAGCAAAAGTGCCGATTTGTTACCAAAAATGAAGGTAATATTGTAGTCAGAAGAATGCGGTAAAATAGTGAGATCGTCAAGCGAATTGGAAACGAGCGCAGTAGACGTTGGTATTGATGCAGTTACTGCAGTAGCCGAAGATGTTGTATATGCGAATACAGTCAATACAGCCTCTCCGACGGCACTGTGCGATGCCACCCAGCAGGACTACCAAAATGCGATTATACGTTAGAAATTTCGTTATCTTTTCTAACATTCTCACACAGATTCGTCATTGGATAGTATAAAGGAGATGACGAAATTTTACATTTGAAATAATAAGTGCACATAAAATAAAGAGCAAGTTCAAGTATTGGACATAATTTATTTTGTTTCAGCGCTGAAACCTGCGAAAGTGTCGTTGAAAATTCAGCAACTGCTACATTCACTACAGGTGAGCTTATCTTCGTTTTGATTCTTTTATCATTTACATAATTCTTATGAATGCGTTCAACTTTGCAATTTCATCATTTTTTGGAGGGTAAGTTATCAGATAGATTTAAATGGGGAAGACGAATCTGTCATATATTCGTGGACGTAGACTACTGAAGGTTCACTTACCACATGCTCTTGAAACACACTGCATGGTAATGTTTCACAGAATGTGTAGTAAATACAACATTGACTCATTGTGTCTCACTGAGAATCAACAGCGCTGAGGAGTAAAGGAAGTCAAATTGATATTATTATAAGTAACCATGGATTTCGAGCAGATTTTTCTCTTGCGACAAAAAATTGAATTTCCTAATAAATGGCCTATTTCAAGAAAGCAAATAAATGTTATTCTTACGGCTATTGGGTTATTTGAAAAAAACTGTGAACATTTAAGATGCACAACGAAATGATTAATTTGATGTAAGGCAGCTGTAAGATAGTCGAAATATCTCTCAGAAATTTTTTCAAACAATAAACAAAAATGCTCACTTTATGACCTCCAACAGAATGTCGTATTAATCATAAGAATGATTGAATCTCGAACACTGAGTAACGATTTTTTCACATATCCAACAACCAATCATTTTGTTCACTTTGCGTTAGCAAAACTAATATTATTTGTTGGTGTCTGCATTAATGTCACTAGTTTGAACTAAAAGAAGTAATGCAATCGCGATTTGCTTGTAACGAGCAGTACGCACGTTCTAGTCAGAGTGGAAGTAATCATTCTCGCCTGAGGTATTACAATATTATCTATCCGTCTATTCTAAGTTCGCTCATTGGTTTGCATTGTTTCCAAACCACATAGCACGTGCTCAAAGCCAAGGCTCTTAGCACGGCTTTAGTTCATTCGTGCAAGCAGCAGTTAACGTAGCAGCAGTAGTAGCAGTATTCAACACGCATTCTTTTCTTATATGAAGTTAACAAGCTTTCTTTTACAACATTAATCATCCATTTGATCATCATCTCAACACATCACTTACCGCCTTATCCTGTATATGATTTACTCATTCGTTAAACATCGACATTCTGTGCAAATTCCGAACTCTTTGTGATATCAGCTTATTCAGTTCATTCACTATTCATATTATATAATCTTATTTGCTATTTGCGTTTACCTCTAATATTTTGTCGCAAATTTGAAAGAATTTATTCGGTTTTTACAATCGCTCGACTAAAACCGAATGTTTTTCTTCGAAAAATATAGTCGAAAAGGTCAGATTAGGTGCTATACGTTCATTTGAAGTTTAATCGATTATCTTGACCAAGTGACTATTATGTACAGCATGGAATATTATTTCAATAACTACAGAATGTGAAAGTTTCAAATGAAATGCGACAGTGTGCCATGACACGAGAAAAAATTAAGCAGATATGAAAGATGTATGTGCTATTGGCGCGGCCTAATCATCATACGGGCTGCAACGATAATGCGATTGCGTTGAACTATTCAGGCGGTGCATCTCACGCACATTATCATGCGTCCAGATATCGTTACTTCACATCCAGACGTTTATCACGTCATCATGTCTCGCACAGTGAAGATATCAAAAAAGTCAAATGCGAATATGATCGTCTGTTGAAAGAACGTTTAAAGAATAGCGGTAAGACAGCTGCCGCAACTGCTCTTAGCGTTTTGCATCTACAGCAACACAATAAATGTAGCAATATTGTGCATACTGATGCAATTAATTCGTTACAAATACGTTCGTTCGATGAGAAGTCATTAAGGAATCATCATAAATTTTCTATGCATCTATTTCATTTAACCAGTGGTTTCGACAATCAATATTTAACGCGTTATCCCCAGCAACAACAGCGTTCTTTTCACTTAACTCATCCTAAATGCGCGCAAAAGACATCTAATCTAAAAGAAAGCAAGCAGCAAGCAACATCCGATGACACTGTTGGTCATAGCGGATGTTCATTGACGAATACGAACGCTGTTCATCTAATAGCATCAAATTTGAATAATAATTATCTGAATGTTCCAAGAAACGAGCCATTGAGAGAGGTATCGAATGAGAAACGCGATGAGGCAGAAATAATCAGAAGCGCAATCGCAGATGCCATTACTGAAGTGAGTGGCAGCAAACCGGGATGGGCTAATCAAAGCAATAACGACAATTCAATACCAGCTTCAGGCTCATTTCGATCAGCACCGCCAACTTTATTAAGAAATAATCAGCGCAGAAATGTTGACAATTGGAATGAATGTAGTGTTGAGTCTGTTGAGGTCTTACTTGAGTCTATTCGACGTTCGGTTGCAAAGCAAGCATCGAATGATGCACGCCGAAAGTCGTCGACGATCCTTACGACCGGTGCATCAGTTGTTTTGAGACATCATAATCCATTGCCAAGCGAATTGAATGAGGATGTGGTACAGCATGATTTTGTCGAAGAGGAACTTTGCGCCTACAGAAGGGTGGCTGTTCTTGGTTTGGGGCGAAAAAGTAGAATACAAGTGGGACAATTGGAATGTTCGAAGCAATTCTCTAATGCCAATATTCTAAAACTATGCCGAACGTTTTCATTGCAGAGGCCAAAGAAGAAACCTCTTCACGAATACTATAACGACGATGATGCTGAACTTGAAGGTATTTTGTTGTGCTCTTTTGCTTGGATGGAGTGCATGTTTTATTTCAAACTTTCTGTTTCATTCACTTTGCGCGTTGGTAAATAAATTCGGCTGAATGACATATCTTGACTGAAACAATTAGATGATGACGAATAACGCTAATCACCACTATTAATTTCCATCAAGACTAGGCATACAGTTCGAATAAATTTCTATTAAATCTTCTAACGATACATACGAATTGTAGCTCTCGCTAAAATAGTCGATCCATCCGCACCACGTCCCGAAGGGGCACTGATTAGTCCTGCTCGAGGTGATCATACGACTGTGCCAAGCAGTCTACCACGTTCACTCGATTCAGCCTTACATCGATATGCCACATCCCAACCGAAGATGCTCGCCGCTATCGTACTTGATCATTCAGGCAGACCTGCATATTCCCTCACCTACGGTATCTCACTTTCGTCTGAACTTTTCATTATCTGTGCATTCACCTCACAAAGCATTGAGCGAACTGTCTCACTATACGAGGAAAATTTTTCAGAAATGTAAACGGTAATATTGAAACTAGTCAAAGATGAATACCGAACCAATGTATCGATTATCTGGATTCTAGGCATAGCAATCAGTTCGGTTCACTGATTCCTTTTCAAGGTGTTTATATTCAGGGAAGTTGTTGAGTCGTTCTATGAAGGTTGCGCATATGCTATTGACTAGACTTGTTCCCGGTACGGCAGGTAAAGATCGAGTGCGTTTATGCAAAACAGGAGATCGTGTTGCTCTTGTAAGTTAACTTTGATTTTATTTTGATGTTAGATATTCATCAGTTATGCATTAAGAACCACTCATCGAAATAATGTCCATCTTTTCATTAATCGGGAAAAAAATCCGAATAAAATGAAGCCATTACTGCATATTTGTTAACCGCAAAGTGTGTGCTTTCTCTGATTTAACCTGCTTTGAGAGGCTTTCCATTATTAGTCATGAATTAATTCGTGTTACCATTGTAGCGTCCAATTCTGGTCAGAAAACAATCTAGCCGAATAAGAACAATAGATGTTTCTAACAGTTTCATTGTAGGTTTATCCTAACACGGAGCCATTATCCTTTTTGGTCGCTTTTTACGGGTGTCTTATCGCTGGCGTCATACCAGTACCCGTCGAAGTTCCACTCTCTAAACGTGTAAGTGTTATGTTTTTGCTTTTAATATTTCGAATTCTTTGAATTATCCGTTTTCGTGTAAAAGAATAATAGATGCTTGTTCACTCACGTATTGTGTCCGTAAAATTCACTGACCATTTAATGAAAAAGACATCAGTATACACCCATTCATCCGCTTTTCAATAAGCATTAATCAGAACACTATATGTTAGTCATTGCTTGCTTTCATGATGATTAACGTTTGTTTTAGGATGCTGGAATCCAGCAGTTGGGCTTTCTTTTAGGGAGTTGTGGTGTGAAGGTAGCGTTGACGTCTGATGCGTGCTATAAAGGCCTTCCGAAACGTTCTTCATCTCAACAAACGAATACCTCAACTGCTGCGTTGGCTGGTAGTGAAGTTGTCGATTTTAAAGGATGGCCAAGATTAGTTTGGCTAATCACTGAGCATTTGGTGTGTTTTGATTAGCTTATTCCTGCTTTGTTCTTCTGTTCACTTATCTGTTATGATTGCTTAATATCCAGTAT